TATATTTTTATGGCACTGTGTGCTGTTCATATACTTTGGTACTCTTCGCATAAAGATCATAATGGAACAAGGTTGGAAGAATCGTCATGTGGGTGCAACTCTGATGAATGCGGACAGTAGTCGGTCGCATTCAATATTCACTATCTATCTGGAGATGGCAACTTTGAACAAGGTTACCGGCTCAGAGCATCTGAGAGCGGGAAAACTTAATCTTGTTGATTTGGCTGGATCTGAAAGGCAGTCTAAGACAGGTGCCACTGGCGATCGACTAAAGGAAGCCACCAAAATTAATCTCAGTCTCTCCGCTCTTGGAAATGTCATTTCAGCTCTTGTGGACGCAAATGCGAGACATGTACCCTACCGAGACAGCAAGTTGACACGGCTTCTTCAGGTTTGTCCCCCTTTTTTGCATACGACTCTTCGTAAATCTGTCATAAAAGGGATTGTCCACTTACAACTATAAGTGGCTTTTAATAGCAGGCTTCTGTTTTTACTGTTCGTTATGAGTGTTAGTACTCCTTTTCGTTGACTATTTTAGGACTCTTTAGGGGGGAACACAAAGACTCTGATGATCGCGTGTCTTTCACCAGCAGATAATAATTACGATGAGACTCTAAGTACCCTGCGTTACGCCAATCGCGCCAAAAATATCAAGAACAAACCAGTTATCAATGAGGACCCTAAAGATGCTCTTTTGCGCCAATATCAGGAAGAAATCGCTCGACTCAAGGCCATGTTGGAAGGAAACATATCTCTTAATCAGTTTCCCATCAAATCTGCTAGGACCGAAGTTACTCGTCCTTCTCTTCTGGAGCTAGAAGAGTTCTCGAGGGAGAAGAAAAAAATTGAGGAGGCAGGTCTATTCCTTCTACCCTTTTTCCGCCGTCGTATAATTCTGTTTCGTAATTGGAAGTGCTACCATAATCAAGTCCGAAATAGTACTTTGTATAATTTGTATTTTGCTCTTGCATTCACCATTTTTGTTACATTTAACATATGGACTGCACTTGCTATGTTAACTTTGCTTTATTGTCAATTTTAAGGATTATGAGAGGCGATTGCGAGATAAGGAAGCTTTGTATGCAGCAGAGGCTGCCAACGCAGCGAAGCTGCAGGAGGAGGTAGCGAAACTCAAAGACCTCTACGACACGAATCTTCGGCGGCTGGAAGAGAAGTACTGTGGCTGTACCACCCAAAGCGATGGTAGGTGCAAGCTCTTTTGACAGATGCCCATCTTCTCCACTTCATATAGTAAAAGTATGGTTTTGAAGTCTGCTCCAAAATAGGGCAAACAAACGGTGGGCGCACATCTGTAGCTCCACTGTCGTTACCTGATTTTCGTGCCTCAGAGCCTGGGGGACTCCCAGCGTTGCGGCTTGACAAGATTTCATCGACATCCGAGTGTTCATCAGGTTTGCTCATCCTCTTCTCGAGTTCGGCGTTGGTTCTCTCTCTCTTACTACGTGATGTTTTTCCACATTTCCACCATGAAATAACAATTAGACTTTGTCCTTGGGCACTTATGTGCAAATCTCAAACGTAAATATACAACTTCAGTTCCTACCGGGATAGAGACCATCATCATTATTTCAGTCACTCTCCTCTTCTGAATAATTTACTTTGCGTGAGAAGAGAGTAATATCTAAGAACTACTATTTTGTAGCACTTAACATTATTGTCGATAGGCGCAATTTTCACACTGAGGATTGAGAATTCTTGTGAAACTAGAACCATCAGCTCAAGTATTCATCAATGTTATTTAAGATTTTCTACCTTATTGTTTCTTGTATCCAACCCTCTAGTCTTTTTGTGTTGCTTTTCTTCTTTTCGCCTTTTCCTCGATTCAAAGTACCTAGCTTATTCATCCCCCTTAGAGTGGCTTGTGTATTTCAAGTCGTCAAACCATTTCTGCTGCACCTCTCAATACATCGGAGGCAGTTTTGTATTACCTTTGTTTTTCGGCCGTATAAAGCGCTCGCTTAAATGCTTTTTGGTATGTATCTGCTTTGGCACCTCTCAGAGGATGGTGTAGACGCTCCGTGGTTGCCTTTGGGCTCAGGAATGATGCGTGAAGGCGGGCTGGCCTCAGGGACCTATCGCTTGGCAGCACCGATGGCTACAATGGCAGCAGAGATAGAAGAGGCAGAAGTAGAGGCGGAAGGAGTGGAGGTAGAGGGACACCCGCAGTTCGCCATCCACCTTTCCACCACTTCTCTCCTCGGTGTAACAACTCCTCTCGACGGCATTTCTCGTGAATACGACAAACTTACCAAGGAGGAGTTACTCCGCAGGTATTGATAACAGTAGCGAATGGTGACACGATAATATTGCTTAAATAAATTATAGTTGATTAACTTTTCGAAACTAGTTCTCTACACTGCTTCCATTTTTTGTGCACCGTGCAATTTGCACGTAAGTCTTGCAGTCGTTAAGTTTTTCCGTAGTCCTTGTGGATGCTTTTTAAGTTATCAATAAAAGAGGCTTACTCACTTACTCAAGAAGCCCTCATTGGGTTTTTTTAAAGCGTATATTGAGGAAATTCTGCAACCGTACATGTGGTTTGAGTGCATTTGGCATTTTCAGAATTCCTATAGTAGACTGTGGAAATTGCATCCGCCTTTCCTAGCACAATGCTTTATACTCGTTCACCTTTTCTTCATTTTTTCTCTTTATTTTTCTCAATCACATAAATTTCATATCGATAGCGATGGATGCAGATAAGCTTAATGTTTCTTTCTCCCCGTGGATGCAATTGTGGTGTAGATTGCATCTACTGGAGGCGGATATCGTTGGGGGAGAAGAGGCTAACAACGTGGAGGTACGGGAACGCCGTTCGCATCGGCGTCGCCACGCAGAGGAACGCCGCCGTCTCCTAGCTGAGGCCAACGCCAACCTTGATAACTCCGCTGACGATGATGGGATCATGCTCGACATTTACGAGAGCATTCAAGATGAACTGAGGCACAAGTGCAGACTTCTTCAACGGGAAAGGCAAAAGGTCTGCTAATACTTGGTGCTTTATTCATTTTCTTGAGTATCAAGGGGTGAGCTTTATTTTTGCGTACGTAGAGATTCATTTTGTCTGGCGCATTAAAAAGATACGGTTATTGGGCCTTGCTCATTAGCACTTATCAGCACTTAAAGGTAGTAGATAGTTTTACAATCATAAGCCTTTCATTTGTCAAATTTTACTAAGTACAGAATCTGAATCGGTCCAAAACGTGGGAATCACTTGTTACTCCTGTTCATACTTTTTGAGCAGACCAGTTCTCTCGAAATTGAGATCGGAGATCTGCAGCGTGAATTTGAGCTAGATCGCGAAGACTACCTCGAGTCCATCCGCAAACAGAATAAGCAAATCAGCCTACTCCAGGCCATTCTGAACAAAGTCCAACCCTGTATTCGCAAAGATAGCAATTACGCTAATCTTGAAAAAATTAAAAAGCAAGCTTGGTAAGCCGTCTGTTCATTAACAACTTGGGTATCTTTCTAAGTTTTAGCAATCATGGTCCTTGTACATGCCTTTCACGTCCTAGAGGTCTTTTTCCATTCGTACCTAAGGCATTACATGACACAAGTGCCCAACTACTTGACTCTACTTCCTTCTTCAATGGGCTCCACAGGTCCACTATTTCCTAGTACACAGTATCGAATCCGTTTGTTTACGGTCACCAATTTCGAACTGTTTTTATT